GGCGCCCGCCTGCCTACAAGTCTGTGCTGGCTAAGGCCCCAGCCGAGTTCGTCCCCGCTCGGCCAGATTGGTCAGGGGAGGACTTTGCGCCAACCCTCAGGCGCCGAAGAACCTGCTCAGAACAGGGCGCTGTTTCGTTGAGGCCTCAAGATTTTTACACGGAGGGCCTCAGGTTTACACACAAGGAGCGGTGGGGCTGGAAGGGGCCAGGAGGGCCATCCAGTCCAACCCTCCGCAATGTGCAGAAAAGCCAGCTAAACCCTCCTCAAGAGATGCCCCCCTTAAAAACCTCCAGAGATGGAGAACCTGCACAGCCTCCGTACATAATTCGGTTCTTCCACTCTCACGCCGATCAGGAGGATTTTCCTTGTCTTTAAAGAAAATCTAGGTGCCCTTTAGGCACAGCCCAGGACCAATCGCTTCCACAAAACATCTGTGGTAGCACGCATATGAAGTAAAGCATCCTAAAAGTCACAAAACGTTAACCCCAGGAAATAAACATCAGAAAAACCAACATCCAAGCTAATAACCTAGGAGAAACAAGGTGGCGTTGCATAGCGCTGACTGGGGGAAAGACAGGTGTGACCGGAAGCCTGCTGTGATTTTATGGATGTTCACAAGAAAATCCATGATTCAGTGCCTCCAAATCAGCGTGATTAAATCTAGTGTACCTCGGGTGATGCACCTGTCCTTTGAATGACACAACACGTCTCCATATGGACATCGTTTCTTCTGCTTGTGCAATCTAATTCCCCACCCACCCATGGGGTTCTCCCCCCATCAATCCAGCCATTGAGATGAAGGATCTCGGGAAGCATGGCCTGAGTCAAAAACATCTCAATTTGTCTTTTTAAAAAAGCACGTGTCCTCTGGCCTTTTCTCGGTCATCCTGAGAACTGAGGACAGGGCAGGAGGGCTCACGGTAGCCAATACAGAGGATCCGAGGGATGATTCAAAAGGGATCATATTTTGGGGCTCCTTCTGCACTACTGAGTTAAAACATTATCTAGCCCTCCTTGGGAGGGCAGGAACAAAACCACCCTAAAAATTTGCTAACCTCACAGCCAATCCTTATCTTGCCTCTGTTGTGACTGCCTGCCAAAATTTGCGTGGCCCTGATTTCCAGCACAGCCATTCATTCAGAGGCACAACGGTTGTCCTCTCTTCTGGCTTCACTCCCATCTACTTCCTATCCATCATCAGCCAGTGGCGAAAAGATCCAGCCCTCAGGATAAGGCAGCCTGAATGGGATGGGCCTGTTCAAATCGCCCAATTCTGGAATTTCAGAAGCCGCATACCGAGCAGCATATGTACCCAATTTATGTAAAAAGTACATTAAGAACCATTTAATGCAGAACGCAGTATGAGAGGGAAATACTCTACGGGCATTAACCTACAAATTACAGGAGAGGCCAGCTCACCGTGTTCTGCCAGAAAGAACAAGGACAGAATGGCCTCTATTGCCAGAAGTGGAGTTCTGGGTAGCAATCATCCTAGCCTTTACTTCCAATTGGATCTAGGACTTGCCAAATGCAGTGAAAGAAGTAAAAAATCATAAGACAACTTCTGCTTTTTTTTTCTTTTTTTTTTTTGCTGCTGCCACCGGTCCCAATTGCTTCTTCCACCCTTCACAATGCCTCTTTAGGGCACCTGGGGCCAAGACACGTCTTCCTTTCTTTTGTCACAGGCCCTATTTAAATCCAGTCAAGAAAACAAACCGATGGATCATTCAGCAAATCCACCCAGAGTTCTCACTCCAGGCACAAAGGACCAAATTATCCTACTTTGGACACATATGAGATCTAGTTCTCTGAAGCTGGGAAAGGTGGAAGGAAAAAGAAGAAGAGGAGGACCAGCAGCAAGGTGGATGGACTCAATTACATGGCGATGGAGGCACTATTGGAAGACCTGGTTAAGGACAGATCATGGAGAAACTCTATGTGGTCTCTGGGAGTCGAAAACAACTTGATGGTACATTATCTATCTATCTGTCAGGATCTGCGCAAGCTAGAAATCAAAGCATAATTAGAATGTAGAATAGCGATGCATAGTTGACAAGGCTAAATGTTAGAATGGTTAATTGGAGGCCCGCTTGCTTGCTCCTCCCATAAAAGTCAGAAGAGGGAGGAAAATATCCTCCAAGCCAGGTGCAACCATTATCTTGGTTAGAGGCGCCAACAAGGTCAAGCAGTCGTGAGACCAGGAGAAAGGCGCGAAGAATTTCAAGCAGGAAAAGACAGCAGAAGGGGGGGGGGGGGGAGGGGGGGTTAAAAGGAAAGCTTTTGGCTGGGAATAGTTAGACTCAACAATCTTTAGACGCTGTATGCTACTCTCAATAAAGAAATCTTTGATGGAACTAATGCAAGTCCAGAGGATTTACTGAACTTGGGAAATGAGTGTGCAGACTCTGACTCTATCTATCTATCTATCTATCTATCTATCTATCTATCTATCTATCTATCTATCTATCTATCACAAACCTGAACCAGTTTTATTTAATATAAGTGGTTTGTGTCATTAGACTATTTTAAAGGCAAATCAATTATGTGATTGAGTGCTATCACACTCTCCTAAATTTGGATAAAAAACGATTCCCCTTCCCCTTTCAGATCTATGGGTGTCATCTCCATGAAGGTGGCTTTCCCCCGCACCCCGTCAAAATGTTCTCAGCTTTTCTCATGGAGGTCATGAATGGTATGTATCTTTAGCAACTATTGGAGTTACGTTTAAAAAGAATGTGGACACTTGCTACTCTAAGGAATAAATACTCTACTTTTTTTTTCTTCCTAGCGTTTTCCTGCAGGCACAGGATCTGCTTTTTTCGGATCAACCAAATGTTGATCCATTGGTTGGGACAGGCATGGACCAGCCTGACATCGTGGGCTGAGCGAGAGGGACTGGCCCAAAGTCCCCCAGCCGGCTTTCGTGCCTAAGGCAGGACTAGAACTCA